TACCGACATGGCGTAGTGATAGACAAGGAGAGCGCGCTTTCGAATGGGCGATACAGAAAAGGATTTAACGTGTTCGCGATACCGCAAAAGCGGTCAGTCGTCGCCGATACGTCGTCGAAGGTGAAACAACGTTAGTGTTACAAAGAGAGAGATCGACACTCTGCTTTGTTTTTTCCCCGCGATGGCTGCGATCGATGGGAGCGAGACGATTCGCGAATGCGAGAAGATCGTGAAAGATATTGCGAAAACGAGTAATTCGATTCGCAAGAAACTTCGCGCTTTGAAGACCGGTAAGGTCAAGAAGGACATTGAGTTGGACACGCACTTTAAACCTCTCACCGGGTCGCTGAAGAAGATCGTCGACAACTCGAGCTTGACCGCGGTGAAGAAAGAGGAGCCAACGGAGAGCGTCACTGACGCGGAAATCGAACCGCTATCCGTTTAACAGCGCGGGGAAGAGGTGGAGGATGCTACACTAAAGAGAAAGAGGAAACGATTAAACTCCTGGTCGGATCTGTCATCGACACCGCGTAAATCTGATCAATCGAAACGATCGATAGTACTATACCGATAACCTCTACACCGATAACCTCTACACTGACGCGAACCGTGCAACGCACAAGTCCCGAATTTCTTGAAAACGTGAATGTTTTTGAAACCACGGACGACTCGATCGGGACGACCGTTCAAAAGCGGTTGCAAACGTCGGAGGGTCGAGAATTGTTTATAGAAACGTTGCAAGATCACTTGGGTCCACTGACCCGAATTTACATCGCAGAGGTTTTGGGCGCTATTCCAACAACAGTGTACGGCGTTTATCTCGGTAATAATGAATTGATGCTTGGTAATAAACGTTTTGACGTAGACAAAGCGGATGGATAACATTCATATCGACGCGCGGCGTACGATACGCCGGCACACCCGGTATTTACGAGTTGATCTTCAAGAAAAGGTAAATGTTTAGTATAACGATCTCCCCTCCGATTTTCTTAAAACTTTGTGAAATTGTTTATTTCTACGTGTAAAGAACATTCTGAGAAGGAAAATCGTCGCTCAGGTCTCGTTTTTTAAATATTTAATTTCAAAGTTTTGATGTCGGTAAGGTAGGAAATGATAATTTTCAAATACTGCGCAACTTCATTTGTTACTATATTCACAAATTAAGTTGTCCGCATACTCGTTAACGGTGCTATTTAGGTTAAAATAAATGAAGTTACACGAATTTTTAGCGTTAACAAGTAAAAAACAAAGTTTAATTAATTTTTTAATACAAGTTAATGTTATAAACAAAAATTTAAAATGTGAAATTTGTGGAAACATTATTAACTTAGATATTGATAATTTAGAGTTTAAATGCACAAAATCATATTGTGTAACTGACTTTCATAAGAAAAAGAGAAAAGTGAAATGTCAATTTCGACAAAGTGTCCGAAAAAATACTTGGTTTTCTAAAAGTAAAATGTCCATTGAAAACATTTGTATATTTGTGGCATATTTTATAATGTTAAAACCGCCACGACATAATTTTTTAAAAAATGAATTAGATCTGTCTAGTCGGACAGTAGTTGATTGGCAAAGTTTTTGTCGCGAAGTAATATAATAATTTTTATTATTCCTATCATAAAATCAATAATATTTGTAACCATTTATAATTATTTTAAATACTAATTATTATTAAGTATGCATTTATTGGGTTGAGTCCCATTCTGAAAAAATTGGAGGTGAAGGAGTAATTGTAGAAATTGACGAAGCAAAGATCGGAAGAAGAAAATATAACAGAGGACGACTTATCGATGGAAAATGGATTTTTGGGCGATATGAAAGAAATAGCGGAAAAATGTTTATAGTACCTGTTGTTGACAGAACCACAGAAACACTAATAAGTGTTATTAAAAAATGGATATTACCGGGAACAGTTATAATGTCGGATTGCTGGAAAGCGTACAAATGTTTGGAAAAAGAAGATTTCAAACATTATACCGTGAATCATTCATTACATTTTGTCGATCCAGATACCGGTACAAAATTTTAAATATAAAATAATAGTAATATTAATAGATAGTAATGTTAAATTAAAAAATATTTTTAAACTTAGGTGCACGTACGCAAAATATCGAGCGACTTTGGCGTGAGGTACGATCAAATATCCCAAGATATGGTACGAGGGAAATACATTTAATTGGATATTTAGCAGAATTTATTTTTAAAAGAAAATTTAATTTTAATGAACGTATTGTACAATTTTTTAAAATAATTGGCGAGTTATATCCTCCAACTTCAATAACATTGTAACAATACAATTATTTTCTTTACTTATAAACGCATATATTATTTTCTTCTGTGTTATTAACAAATTATAATCTCCAACCGAAATAAATTCCTAAAAATAAAAAAATGTTCTTTGCTATAGTTAAAAACACAATAAAATAATTTTTTTATATATTTAAAGCAGAAAATAATTTGTGATTTAAAATTTGTACCTTTTTAATTCTTTTTATATGGATTAAAGTTTAAATCCAACATTTCCTTAAAATATACATTATAGCTGTAAACACGGCTACGTCGTTCATGGCCAAATTCCTAAAAATTTTGAAAAATATTTAATAAATATAATTTAATTAATTTGTTAATTAAGATTAATAAAATTACCTCATGATTTAAATACGAAAATCTATCTTTTATCTCACGTTTTCGATTTTTTGTATAGGCTTCTTTTAAAGTGAAAGATAATATTTTGTGTAAAAAGTCTTCCGAAAAGCATTTAAATATGCAAAATTAACTATAATCATACGATTATGATCTGTCAATCGTTTCTCCCAAAACATTTTGCGTATAAATTTTGGCCACAAATTAGCATCACCACCTACGTCTTGAATACCAAGCCAGGGATTTTTATTAATTTGCTCAATTGAATAATTGAACATCATTAACGGTGCAGCAAAATAGAAGTGAAGAAGGTCACGTAACAACTGCCTGCTAATTAAATGCAAAATATCTGCTTTAACAAAAATCACAACTTCTATAAAGCAGAGCATACACACGTGTGTGTGTGCCCTGCTTTAACGAAAATCACAACTTCTATAAAGCAGAGCATACACACGTGTGTGTGTACCCTGCTTTAACGAAAATCACAACTTCTATAAAGCAGGACCTACACACGTCTGTGTGTGTGCCCTGCTTTAACAAAAATCACAACTTCTATAAAGCAGAGCATACACACGTGTGTGTGTGCCCTGCTTTAACGAAAATCACAACTTCTATAAAGCAGGACATACACACGTCTGTGTGTGTGCCCTGTTTTAACGAAAATCACAACTTCTATAAAGCAGGACATACACACGTCTGTGTGTGTGCCCTGCTTTAACGAAAATCACAACTTCTATAAAGCAGGGCATACACACGTGTGTATGTGTGTGTGTGCGCGTGTGCGTGCGTGTGTGTGGTGTGTGCGCGTGCGTGCGTGTGCGTGTGCCCTGCTTTAACAGAAATCACAATTTATCAATTTTGGCCACGTACAGTATTTCACAATCTTAACCTAAATGGCACCGTTAATGAGTAATAGTAACAAATTGTCATAGGTAGCGACTGTGTTTATACACGACTTGAAGAGTTCTGTTCGGGGCCGCTAGGGATGCGCAACAGTCGCTAGTCCCATGACGAAATAAAGTTTCCTACCTTACCGACATCAAAACTTTAAAATTAAATATTTAAAAAACGAGACCTGAGCGACGATTTTCCTTCTCAGAATGTTTTTTACACATAGAAATAAACAATTTTACAAAGTTTTAAGAAAATCGAAGGGGAGAGCGTTATACTAAACATTTACCCAAGAAAATACCCGATGACAAGCTCTACACGGAGGACGATAAGCAAAAGTACAGCTGCATACTGTTGACAAACGAGTGCTCATAAATTCAAGCACGATCCTCGCGAGCGAATAAAGGGCAACGTGGGATACAAGTATCAATATGTAATTTCACCGTTGATATCGACCGAATTCAAGAAAAAAACATCCGGAAAGGTATTATTTGCGCCTCGCGCGATGACGCTGACCGACATTAAAATCGACTACGTGCACTGGGACGACCCCAACGAGCTAGTGGATCGTCTGCGATTGCTCGACGCTTCGCGTCAAGCTGGCAACAATGCCCACGACAACGAGATCACGTCGATCATCGAGAAACTTCGCGAGGCTGGGCTTATTATAAATTAAACGGCGCGACAGCGATCCGTTCAATCGGCGTCAAAATGCCGATCAATAAATTTGGATTGTTCGAGCAGAGCGAAGACGCGACGAATGCCATTTCGTACCAGCGGTGGAGCGGATTAGTGAGAAATTTCGTGCGCGACAACGCTCTGTGTCGCACCGCCACGGACTTTGACGAAAGGTTGCGCAAAATTCGTCGCGTAGCGCAACCTGAAACTGACGGTAACGCGGTTAACAAACTATACATTGATCAGTGCGTTAAAAGTTTGACAGATCAACGGAAAGAGTCAGACGAGAAACTTACCGCGTTCGAGAAGGACGTGCGAGCGTTACAGGCTGCGGTGAACAAGCTTCGACGTGCGAATATCGTTAGATTGGAAACGGCTAATGAACGATGAAGAAACGGTTCAGCAGAAACGACTATCGAACGGCGACGAGTGAGGAGAGGCAACGGTTAATTGTCTACAATGGATGTCGGAAGTCGGAGTCGTTAGAAATTGACCAATCACAGTTTATTATTCTTTGACCGCAAGGAGAATAATAGATTGTGATTGGTCAATTTCTTACGACTCCGACTTCCGACACTCATTGTAGACCGGGCCTTAACGACGACGACGAACGACAACGAACGGTTTGAGAACGGTTGTCGAACGGCTGTCGAACGGTTCAGGAACGGCTCGAAATCGTTTCTGAGCGGTTTAGAAACAGCTACGATCGACGCAGAAACATAAACAAAAACGGCTACGTACAGCTGAAGAACGACGACGAACAGCCAACAAAACGCTAACCGAACATGAGACCGTTAAAATCGACCGATGTGGATAAAAATATCGAAAAGCGACGGTTGGTGGACGAATTGCGCGCACCAGCGAGAAGAAATTTTCCCCGCAGACACGTCATAGTGCGAGGGTACGATGATCTGTGGCAAGCTGATATTGTCGAGATGCGCCAGTACTCGCGTTTCAACGGAGGGTACCACTACATACTCACCGTCATCGATGTGTTGAGCAAGTACGTGTGGACCGTGCCGCTCAAGGGTAAAGGCGGCAGCAAGACAGCTGATGCTATCGCTGAGATAATTCGAGATAGCGGGAGGTGCCCTAGTAATCTACAAACCGACATGGGGAAGGAATTTTACAACACCGACGTGCAACGTCTCGTGAGAAAACACGACATCAATCATTATTCCACGTATTCGGTGATGAAGGCATCAGTCGTCGAGCGATTCAATCGCACGTTAAAAAACAATATGTGGAAGATGTTTACGTTCAATGGAAATTACAAGTGGGTCGACGCCTTGCCGCGACTCGTGTCGGATTACAACGCGCGCAAGCATCGAACGATCGGCATGCGACCCGTCGACGTTACTCCCGCGATCGCCGAAAGACTCTTGGTTACGGTGTTCAGCGCGATAAAGATCGCGGGTCCGGCAAAGTTTAAAACGGGCGACTCGGTACGCGTCAGCAAATACAAGACAATTTTCGAGAAGGATTGGACCATCGAGGTGTTTAAGATCGTTAAAGTGCAGCATACCAATCCCGTAACCTAATACCTACTCGAGGACTATTATGGAAAATCCGTCGCGTTCTACGAGCACGAGTTGCATCGCGCGACTTATCCGGACATGTATCTCGTAGAGAAAGTACTGCGCAGGAGGGGCGACGAGGTTTACGTAAAATGGCTGAAATTCGATGGATTGCACAACTCTTGGATACACAAGGACAATGTTATTTAAACTGTATTTTATTCTTAATATAAAAATGATACATATAAAGTGTTTTGAAATATGTATTACATATAAAGTATATAATAAAAAATATTAAATACTAAATATATGTACGATATCTTTATTAATATCCCCCTTACGAAAAAAACACTCAAGATTTTGGTGATTACACTCAACTTTGGGTGTTTACACTCTATTTTCGGTGTCGACACTGAACTTTTGGTGTCAACACCCAAAATTTGAGTGTCGACACCAAAAGTTGAGTGTCGACACCGAAACACCAAAGTTTCGGTATCGACACTCGAATTTTGTATCCACAAAACTTGGGGATACATAAGCAGGCCCCGATCAGGAGGTCGATTCTGTATTTTGAGACGAGGTGAAAATTACAAAAGTGAACAGATTTACTAGATTTCGACAAATAAAATTGTAGATTCTCTAGTGAATTTCTTCACTTTTGTAATTTTCACCTTGTCTTAAAATACAGAATCGACCCCCAGGACACGTATTCTTACTTTAATGAAATATTGGTAGGGTAATATAATCAGGTCCTAATCGAAATAATGTGCATGTGCTTTATGGAATAAAAGTTTCTATATATACATATAAGTGTGTAAAATTTCGTACAGTTAATACACACATCAAGACTGTCATTATTCGATCGCGCGGCGCAACGTTGGCTTAATAGGCCTATTTTGTAATGAGCCGGCACTGGTTTCTGACATTCATCCGACATTAAGAAAAAATTATATTCGTATATTCGATTCGAAATTTTATTACTCTTTTTAAACTAAATTTATTTCTTAAGAATTTTTGAAAAATTATATATTTGCGCTGGTTGTGATGACACATGTAGACTATATATAACACTTACATTAAATTAAGAAGTAGTCTACCACGTAAGACGGTTGGCTTACGATCCAGAGGTCCCGAGGTCTCGAGTTCGAATCCCATCAAGGTAAGTGTGTTTTTCAAGTACGAGAAAATATTTATAATCATAGGTTGCATCTCTTAAGAAACAAATTTAGTTAAAAAATAGTTTTCAAAATAAATATAATTTTTTTTATGTCGGGTAAATTTCCTCATTAGAGAGTACTTTATTTGGGGGTTACACTCATACACCCGAAAATTGGGTGTTTTTTCCGTAAGGGCCTTCCATTAATATAGGTACATACGTTACATTACAACATACATACATATATACACATATGTTATACTACTACTACATAATATTACGTTACATACATACATTTATATGTTATACTACTACATACATTACATACATATATACATATGTACATATATTATATTACATATATTGCATACATTACATACGTTATATTCGGTAATGTCCCCACGGCAACGTATCGGTCGAATCCGGCACGATATATCGCTTATCGTCGTACGGACTCAGAGCGATTTTCGTCTCGCTGATAGTGTACACTTCGTGTTTTTTCGATCTTATACACGACTGCGGTCGAGTCATTTCGATCTCATCGTTCAGACACCGCGTGTAGTCGTCGAATGTGATGGTGCGCGCGATAACGTTGCTTTTGACACCTTTCGCTTTTTTAGTGTTTTTCTTACTATCGACTCGCAAGGCGTACATTTTCGCCCTAAGTCCAACGAATTTGGTCATAATGGCACCGTTGTTTTCGTTCTTCATCGGGCCCGGCACTTTTTTATTGACGAGAGGCATACCATAAGCGTTATCTACCGCGTAGTCACTCGTGTCGAACCTGACTATATCATGTTTATGTTCTCGTACGCGTCGTCGCACTCGATATGATAAATCAAACTGTCTGTGTCGGTATACATGATTCTACACAAGTCGCGGTACAGGGGAGACATGTATTCGTGGTGAAATTCGTATAGGCACACCTTCGACAAGTCGAGGATGCACATGCCGACGTAGATCGGTTTGTCGAATTTCACCTCGAGTTTACGCAGTTCGACGGCTACCAGATTTTCCGAAAACACGCTCCTGCTGTGGAAATTCGGTCGCGCGATCATTACCTCTGCGTCGTATCGTCTGTCCCACTTCGTCACTAATTTTACATCGACGTGGTTTCGTACATTCTCCATCGTTTTCCTAAAAACCGCGTTAATTTATATAAAGTTTTTTTAAACTCATTTTTGGCCAATGTCCTGAATTTTGTATTGAGTTTGATGTAAGAGCGAAGCCACTCAGATTGAGCGAATTGCAATACGCGATGTATTTTTGTGACGCGAAGGCCGTGACGCGTGCACTGCTGCAGATTGCGATAATGGATGACATAACGCTTCTTATCGTGCAGCGTGGCGAGAAGTTTGTCCTGCCGTTTGCCGGGCGGTTTATCGCGCATCGGACAGAACGGTAGGTCAATGTGCGCGTCGTGTTTATCCTGCGGATACTTGAGATCGACCTCGAGAATATAGCCTGTAGGCGAATCCAAAGCGATCGCGTTAAAGTCGAAAGACGCGTATTCGACCCATCGAAACTCCGCGTAGGGCAGTGGCTTACACATCGCCCAGCCGTACAAGTTGACATCGAAATACATTAGGTACGACGACGGTTTCGAGGAAACGATTTCCGCGACGCAGCTGTCGCGGAAATTTTCAAATACGTCGGTCAACAGCAAGACATCGGTTTTCAGGTATAGATCGCTGTATTCGCCTAGGGTTCAAACGGAGAATCGCTGCCATACATTCGCGGCGTGCGCGTAATCGCCCTCGGATACGGTGTCACCGGTCAAGGAACTGTAAAATGAATTGCGCGGCGGTAAACACGTATCCTCCAGCTTTTCAACGCTGTCCACGTATTCGTATGGAAAGACACCTTTTCGCGTCAATAATTCGAAATCGTCGACGGATAACGCGGAAAATTTGGAACGTATAATTTTCAATTTATCCTTATCGAGGAAGAATGCCAATTTTGCGAGACTCGCGCTCAGAAATTTGTACGAGTCGATGAATCTTAATTTTATATCGCTTCGCAAATCTGATCTTTCCGCGATGTCTTCACGTGTTTAGTGAATGAGATGTACTTTTCCTTTGTTATAGGCAGTACACTGATCGAGCCTTCAAACGCGGCAGCTATCTCCTTGATAATGAAATGTGCGTCATAGCCCGATAGATTGTGGAATATTACTGGGATGAAGTGAGAATCCTTATAATTCAGATTGCACGTCGAATGTGTTGGACCTCTGTAACGTCCGGTCAGGTGGCAATGATCGCGTACACGATTATCATCCGGCGCGAACGGTTTTTCACAAATGTGACATTGCACCGCGCTGTGAAATGTCTCCCACTCGTCTCGCGTTAGGTCTACCATACATACAATGTCGGACAAGATGTTCTTTACGCGATGCGCCAATCCTGTGAGTTCCTCGGCGAACCACACGACGCAGTCATTATCGCGACGAAATCGATACGTCGATAACGTTTCGTCGTATGAGCACTGTACGTAGTATGCTATACTACATACCCGATGATGTTGATAAGCGTATGACGCGTGTTCCGTCTCCGGTTGTCTTCTGCAGCACGCACTTCAGATCGGCGTACACCACGAAGAAAAATCGCTCTTTCCTGCTGTGGTTCTTGAAGCTGAGCCACTTGTTGTTTTCGCTCGGTAGTCTGATAGCGAAGTTGTTTACCTCTCGGCAGTCCACGGTGTGGGCTTCCAATTTCTTGTTCGTGTAGAAATAGTGCAGACATCTACAAAAAGGAAACACAAAT